TTCTGAGCCTAAGGGCAAGGGCAAGGGCAAGGGCAATGCTTGATGGCGCGGCACACACTCTCTTACGCAGTTTTATGGGGACACTCTGATATTTAAAGTAAAATGTTGATGTTATGAATTTGAAAAATAATTGCCATTGAGATTTTATGGTTTATGGAAGTGTTTTGATTGCTTTAAAAATGAAAATTTTCTTTTGAAAATTTGGGTTGTTACATGTCAATGTAGCTAATAGTTTTTCATTATAGCATTTCAATTTGATTTTGTATGGATCGTTGGTGTTTGACTTTATTTGTGTTATTTATCTTTTGAACATGTTATTTAATTATTATTTGTACACTTTCTAAGTATGTACTTTTTATGTTATCAATGTATGGTTCGTTTATTTATGTTGCTACGCATGTGATAATGATCAAGGAAGAACAAGTTGGTAAGAAAAAACAAATAAAATGGACAGATAGAATGGATTATTGTTTTATTCAAGCTATGTTGGCACACCAAGATAACGGAAGAAGGATTAGTGGGACATTCACCCCACAAGCGTACACCAACATGGTGGAGGAGCTTAATGCACTGTTTGGGAAGAGTTTAACAAAAAATCATTTAGAGAATCATCTGAAAACTATAAAATCAGGTTTTTCGTAATGGTGTGACATGTTTCACGAAACTTCATTGAGTGGGTTCGGTTGGAATTATGAAATACGACGAATTAAAGTGGACGAGGAAGTGTGGTCCAACCTGATTAATGTAAGTTTTCGTATTGCATTTTACTTAGTTCTATATACATTTATGTTGTTTTTTCTTAACAATAATTATATTTGGGATTGTGTGTTACAGTCAAAGCCCGATGCAATTTTGTTAAAGACCAAAAAAATGCAAAATACAATGAAATGATAGCTTTATTTGCGAGAGATAGAGCTTCGGGGGAGCATGCTGAAATCTTGAAAGAGAAGAATGCTCGGTTGAACAGGATCAGAGATATAAAAGTAGAAACGATTGAAGAAGTTGATGAGTTACTGGAAATAAATGACATAACACTTGAGAAACAACAGAAAAATGATCATGATGGTGATGATGATGATGATGATGATGATGTTCAAATTTTATCTCTTACATTCTTTTCACTGGTGCAAAATTCAAGTGCAAAGAAGTGCAAAAGTAAAAAACAAAAAAAAGGAAACATGAAATTAAAGATGAAGATGAACCTGAAGCTGAATCTGAATCGTTGGAAAAGGTTAGTATGAGTGCAGTTAAAGATGTGGCTTTTGCTATGAGGGAAGGTAACAAAATATTCGAAAACTCTCATCATCGGGTGTATACTGGTGATGAAATTTATAAAGAATTAAAGTCAATGGATTTGGAACCCAATGAATTTGTAGAAGCCCTCATGTTTTTGTCACGAAATCAAGCTGATGCGGGGACATTATTTAGATTTCCATTTAAAATACGAAAAAGTTTGCTAAAAAATGATGGGTGCAACCGTGCAAGTAAATGACTTACTTAGGATGATAGTTTTTGATTTATTATCAGTTTTACTTTATACTTTTTGGTTTTTGGTTTGACTTCATACATTGGAATTTGTTTATTATTCTTGACTTCAAATTGGTTTCTTATTGATTTGTCTTTAACCGGTCATCTTCTTGTTATGCTCTATATATACTTCATGTTATGTATCAGGTTATGCATTTTGGGGTTTTTTTTTTGTCTTTTTTTCCATTTTGTATTGGTTTTGTTTGAAAGAGTAATACAAATGAAGAACATACTTGAAGTTTGATTAATAATGACTGAAGCGTTGATGATTCTTGTATAAATAATCATGTGAAAAAAAAGTAAAGAAGTCGAGAAGCAGGCAGACAACAGGTGGCAAAAAAAGTTTAGGCATAATTTTGTTTTCAAGAGAATCGTGTGGTATATATTTGAAATTGTGGTAAAAATGTGACAAGGGTAAAATTGTCCGCTTTTAGTTTTCATTTCTTTTCCCCACAACTCGGAAACACAAAAGAAAAATAAATATTGTTTCCTTTCTCTCGAACTCGGGAACAAAAAAATGCACTTCACTTTCCTTTCCTTTCCTTTCCTTTCCCTTCCTTTCTTTTCTTTCCTTTAATGAAACTCGGGAACAGGGTGTAAAAGAAACGACACTTCTCTCCATGTTCTCCCTTCGTTCTTTAACATAGAGCTGCTTGATGCAGCTCCTCTCTCAGGCCACTTCGATCCATCTCTCTCCACAGGTAATTGGTTCGACTTTTTTTTTTTTTGTTTTTTTTTCTGAAATTAGTGAGTTTATGTATCAACTTTGTCAGTAGTTATTAGAAGAACAATTTTTTTTCAAGTTGTAGTTGTAAGCTTAATTCTCTAAAATCGATGTTATTATGTTTCTCAGTAATTCGTGGTCAATTTTTTGTGCTCAATTATTAGATGTTTTATGTTACCATTTGGATATTTTTCATATTATTGTTTGTTATTGATGAAACTCTTGGTGTTTGTGTTTGTGTTTGTTATTTGTTATTGATGAAACTCTTGGTGTTTTGCAGTTTAAGAGATTATATGGTTATCATACAGTTCTATATAAGGCTTACAATCAAGCTTTTAAGGCCTTTTGATACAATGTAGTGAATTGTTTTGTGGCCCCTTTGATGTTAATGTACCTCATGTCTATACTTCAATTAAGTTTGAAGTGAAACTGTGGAATAGAGGTCTACTAGGTTTCTTTATCATTGGATGACACATCTCATGTCTCTAGGTTCTGATGGTGTAAGAGAAGGGTGGAAAAAAAGTTAAAATGGAATTTATGATGCAAAAAGGCTATTAAAGGCTCTTAAAGATGGAATTATGGAGCAAATGGTCTATGGATGTGTTATGTAGGTTATTGCAAATAAACTTTTAAAGATGCAATGTCCTTTTCTTTCTTTTTCATACATGCATTACATAGCAATGTACTTTAGTTTTATGGTTAGTTTCTTTTTAAAACCTACACTAAATGGCAATATACTTTTTCTTGGTGTTCGACTATAATATTTAAAAATAATTTTTAATTCCACCTAGTGAGGTTAAAAGAAAATGCCTCTAGGCACAATTCCGTTCTTTTAAACCTTCATTATAATACTTCCTACAAATCTATGGTCATCGATTGATCGATCTTGCATAAAAAAGTTTCTGTTCTGATACATTTGTTGGTATATCAAAATTTGCAAATAGAAAGTGAACCACGACTTTTTTCAAATCCAAAAAAGATAATATAAGAAGTTTTTTTCAATAAATACCAAAACCACTACTCTATTCGAAAGACAAATCTTTATCTTTTCAATCTCACTTTTTCTTCTCAGCACCTCCACCAGACCTACAAAAAGATGACCCAATATTACATCAAATCTATGTCAATATCAGTATTTGTAAAGCTTTAAAGAATGGAGTTACCTCATCTTGCGAAGAACACTGGACATCTCCTCACGCTTCTTCTTTGCTCTCTTGTGGGTCCCCAACTTCCTCTTTGCCACTTTGAGGGCACTTTTGTCCTTTCCAACCTTGAGAAGCTCAGTGATTCTCTTCTCATAAGGAGCAAATCCAGAAACCTCTCTGATAAGGTTTCTCAAAAAGTGTGATCTCTTGCTTGTTTTCTATATATAATTCAAAGAAGCACAACCATTAATTTAACCAAAAGAAACTCAACACAAATTAGATATCATGATTTGTTACTTACCCCTTTCCTGTCAGAAGGACGAGGTGCTAATTCCTTCTTGGTGACAATTTGCCCTTTGTTTAGACCCACAAAGAGTCCTGTATTTGGCTGTTTTGGAGCCATTGGATCCTGAAACATAACTCATATCAGCGCAAAGCAGCATACACTTACAACAGATCATCAACTTAGCATATGCAGTTTTGATTCAATATGCCCTGAAAAACTTACAAGCCTCAGACTACAAGCAAAATGCGCAGTATATTCTTATTAAACATGAAGCTAATTACAAGATATAAACGAGTTTATGCGTGCCAATAAGTTCGTAAACACGAGTAAGCTTATAAGAACATGGAAAGCATCTCGGAACTAAAAGTAAAACGAAGTGATAAGCAATTTACAGCACTCCTGCTTAAACAAACATACGATTCATTCAGAAAGCTCGAAATGTACAGAACTTAAAATTTGCTACAAGCATATCACATCAGGTTTACATTGAAACACGCATGAATTCGTGCAATGAATTGTTAGAGAACAAACCGTATAGTTTCTTCCCTCCGGCTGTCGCGTTTTACCGATGCGGCTGAGGAAAAATGAATCCCTATTTCAAGTTTTATATGGGAGGTTGGACTTTTTATTATAGCAGACTCTTATTAATGGGCCATTGCTCTATTCATGGGCCTTTTAAGAATCATCTATTCACAGTCCAATTGATTATCGAGTATCGAACTACCGAAGGAACTTAAGATCAACATCTGAACTCACTGTTATTCCAAATTGCAATTCAACGATCGATCGCCAACAACGTATCCATCGTCTTCGACGACGAATCTCGTCAAGAACTCTCAAATTGCTGGCATCATTACTGTACGAAACTCTAGAATCACAAGTCTCCATCTCTCGATACCTATTAATTTTGCTTAGCAAAATCCCTATCCTAATCCAAGTAATTAGTTGTTACTATTATTAACACAATCTTTCATTAATTTTACTTAACTTTAGTCTCGAATCTTATTCGGTAAAGGTATAGCAGTTTTTGATGCGAATTGATGTTGCTTTGGAGATTTTAAGTAGGAGAAAGCTTTGAATTTCTAAAAATATTATGAGCACTTTGTTATCTAATATGTATCTGTTCTTGAATCTCTAAATTGTATGCGCACTCCATGAGTTTTTATTGTAATTCCATCCTGGTTATCACTGATAACAAAGTAACCCAATTGAGTAGAAGAAAGCTTTGAATTTCTTTGATATCGATATTCCAGCATTCTTATTCAAATTTGTGCTTACACGACATGTTTCAGAGTTTTTCACTTGGAGTCTTGGAGTAATGATATTTGGTATTTGTGACTGACGAGTAGAAAAGGCAATAATGGAAGATCAATGTTCTTTTAATAGCCCTAGAAGGACTCTTTGTTATTCTAGAAACAGGGGAACAACTTTCTCTGTTTTTGAAGCAGACAACAAAAGGGCTTCAGGTGTTGGTGTTTAAGGAGACCATGGTCCTAACCCTTCTGAAGTTTATGGGTTTGTAGGAGCCATTTCAATTGTTGTTGCCACAGGTATTCTTCCTTCTGTACAATTTTTACTAAATCTTTTTATCAAATATTTTTGAATGATGACAAACTAAAAGATTCTTGAAAGGTCCTCCCTTTTCTCAAAATTTTGGTTAGGTTTCATTTTGTGTTCAGAGAATCCTAATATTATGTTGCTTTGTTGTTCCAACAGTTATTTTCATGGTATGGGCATATGTTCCTGATCCTTGGTTACATTCCATTGGTATCTTCTACTATCCTAGCAAGTAAGTAAGTGTGCATTGGATAAATGATGTTACATTTTCGTTTTTACATAAAACTTATTATGAAATTTTGTATAATTAATGTGCTTCTTTTTTTTTATTTAAACTTTTCAGGTACTGGGCATTGGCACTTCCTGATTATGCCATGGTGATCATTGCAACAATCTTCATATTCTACATCGGCCTCAACTTTATGGCAACTCCACCTCCATCATCATTCAACTCAATAATCGGTGAGTTAATCTCCCATAAGGCTTCTTATTTATGCAACCATGTTTCACGAGTTCTCAATTTATGCAACAAAGTGGTCTTTAGATGAAATATTTAACCATGTTAATTGTTTTAGTGGTTAAAACATGGTTGCATATTTTGTGTCAGTTTCTTAAATTGGTAAAAGAAAGTATAATTTTGTAAGTATATTTATGACAGATGAAAACAACAGAGAACCTGTGTGTTTTGATCCTGTGTTAGAGGAAGATGATCGACCCATTGAGCCTTACTCTGATATTGGAATTGATCAGATCAATGAACTCATGTTCAAAGACTGGAGATAATAGTTACCAAAAAGATAAGATGATTGATTGTTCTTAAATGTATGCAATTATAATTATTGAATTTCTAATGTATTTGAAGGTTCCTTTCCTATATTATGGAAATGGTTATTTTCATCATACAAGTGGATTGATTGCCCATATTTTTACATGTTATATGATTATTTTATGGAGAATTTGAATATAATTTTTTTCGGGACATTGCAGGTGTAATAAATAGGTAATTTTACTTATACATCAACGGAAACTTCTCATTACAACTTTCATTGTTACATTTGTATTATACCCTTTGCTTTGGTTTATGGGTTCATGTACCCTTTGTCTTAAAGTATGGATTTATACCCTTTGCTTTGTGATTTTGAAGATGTACGAGTTTATACATTTGTATATATATTGAGCGTTCATTTGTCTAATATTTATTAAGACTAATCGTGGGGTTGTACTCACTAGGCTTCTTAAAATCTAATCCACTATGTTGACATTCTTTTTTAGGTTAATAGTTGTTTGTAGAAGCGTAGAAGATTATGAAGCTAGTATTTGACATTTAGAAGAGGATTAGTTGTGTATGAAATACTATTTTTATTTGAACCATTATTTTAATGTCTACATACATTCACACATGTTTTTCTGAACTAAATTTGGAAGTTAAATTTTGGATCGTATTCCACACTTAGATTTGAAGTTTATTTACTATTTTGATGATTGAAATTTTGGGACTTTTTTCCTGTAAAATTTAGAACTCAAGAGATATTTTGAAATTATTTAATAAAGGTTATTTAAAATAATATATGACATATGTTTCAAAGGTGGGTGGGATTCATTTATTTAAATAATAATATTAATAATTGTTTTAAAAGTTTAAATCAGAAAAAAATAATAATATTAATAATTGTTTTAAAAGTTTAAATGAGAAAAGAACCTTCTAAGGAAATATATTCATTTCATGTACCAAAACCTCGATAAAAAAAACATCACAGGAACTAGGGGTGAGCAAACCCAAACCAAGAAACCGAGAAACTGACTAAAACCGACGAAACTGAAACCGAAAAAACCGAAACCGTAGCAAAACCGACGGTTAGGGTTTGAACTTTTTAAAAACCGGAAAATCGGGTTCGGTTTCGGTGTTTACCTAGAAACCGACCCATCCAACCCGAGAAACCGATCCATCCAACCCAAGAAACCGACTCATACTTAAAACCGACAAACTACCCCAAGAAACCACTCCATCCAACCCGAGAAACCGACCTATAATTGATTGTGTTTTGGTTGTAATGGACTATTTCGGGCTTTGGTTGTAACTTGTAATAGACTGTTTGTTGTAAGACTCATGTTTTTTGAAGTATTTAACTTAAATTTGGTGTTTTTTGAAGTATTTAACTTGTTGCTTCATTTATGGAAAATGGGTTAAAACCCAAAACCCGTGAGTGTATGGGTTGAACCCAAGAAACCGAAAAACCGACCTCAGAACCCGAGAAACCGAACCGATCTGAAACCAATCCTATTAGGTTCTGAAAACTAGAAACCGACCATTTATGGGTTGGGTTGAGTTTGGGTCCAAAACCGACCCATGCACAGCCCTAACAGGAACAATCCGAATTAAAAAAAAAAAAAAAAAAAAAAAAAAAAAAGTTAAAGGACGAAAGACATATTAAACTATATGACAGGACGATTCGTGTAATTTATTCAAAAGTACAACAGCCTAAATATCTTATGGCTTGTGTCATTCTCACCCCACAGGAATGTATAACTCAAAAAGTGACCCTAACGTACCAATACTCATCGATCCGTTTTCATTTTTACATAATCAGAAAAGGGATCAGGGTTCCGAAAAACTCGATTTTGGAAGAATCAATCCGAATTGATCAGTTCCAAGTCAACGCGCACCTGATTGTAAGGTTTTGCTTTCTAATCTCTATCTCATTTTGATATAATTTGTTCATATCGAACTGCGATTCGTGTTTTTGTAACCTAGGACTTAATCTGATCTAGATACTCGTTCATTTCACTGATCGTAAATTGGAACATATGCCTTTGGTTGAAAGGCGTTTCTCATTCAATTGATGCAGATATTATGCCCCAGTGGATGAAATTTAAGGTTATATCACCACGAAACGAATGAATTTTGATAGGACACGCAAATGTGTCGTTGCAATTATGCAGTTATGGTACTTGATGTTATCTCAAAATCGGTGTAATCTAATGATTTTGAAATGGACATGAATTTTGTTGTTGCAAAACTTTCTCTGCTCTTGAAGCAAATTTATTCAATTTGTATGATGTAAATTGAATGAAATTCCATAAGTAAAATACAAAAAAATTATGTGTTATATAGAATTGATCTATATAAACAAATTTGCCTGTGACCAAGTTAGGCTTCAAATTGATCAATGATCTAGACATTCTTTGCATTTTACAGGGATTTAAATTGTCGCAAGGGTATGAAACATTTTGAAAGTGAATCAGAGGGATCAAATCAAACTGTTTCTACACAATCATCATTGATCAATGGTCTCCCAGATGACATTGCTCTAACCTGTTTAGCAAGAATTCCTCGTAGATATCATTCACTTCTCAAATGTGTCTCAAGAACATGGCGTGATTTGGTTTGCAGTAAACAATGGCAATCCTATCGTGAAAAGCATAATTTGACTGAAACTTGGATTTATGCTTTGTGTAAAGACAAAATGGAGCAACTTTGTTGTTATGTGTTAGACCCAAACTTACCCAAAAAAGGTTGGAAGCGTATCCCTGATCTTCCACCTCATTGTTTGAAAAGAAAAGGCGTAGGGTTTGAGGTTTTGGGGAAAAATATTTACTTTTTGGGTGGATGTGGTTGGATTGAAGATGCTACAGATGAAGTTTACTCATATGATGCTAGCAGGAATGCATGGACAGAAGCTTCTCCTTTGTCAACTGCAAGGTATTATTTTCATAGCAATTTACTTGTATTTCTTTATCAATAAGAGCAACATACTTTTATTCAGGTGTTATTTTGCTTGTGAATCAATGGATGATAAAATGTATGCAATTGGTGGACTCGGGTCAAAATCAAGCGACCCACATTCATGGGACACATTCGATTCCAACACAAACACATGGACATCTCACATGGATCCCAACGTTGTTCCCGAAATAGAAGATTCTGTAATCCTAAACGGAAAAATCTATATAAAATGCGGCTCTTCTGCTGTGTCTTCACATGTTTATGCAGTGGTGTATGATCCATTAAATGGCACGTGGCAGCATGCAGATTCTGACATGGTGTGTGGGTGGCGGGGCCCAGCTATTGTAGTGGAGGACACGCTGTATGTGTTGGATCAGAGTTCAGGGACTAGAGTGATGACGTGGCGGAAAGATAGGAGGGAGTGGGAAGCTTTTGGGAGGCTGTCGGCTGTACTTACTAGACCACCTTGTCGGGTTGTTGGAATTGGTAAGAAGATATTTGTGGTCGGAAAGGGGCTGAGCACGGTGGTTTTTGATGTGGATAAGGCGGCGAATGTGGATGGGGTGTTGGTTACGACTTCTGTGCCTAAATTGCCGGCGTCTGATGATGATGTAATTAGCTGCAAGTCTCTTTCTTTATGACCTTTTTATTTTTTTTCTCCTTGTATGAATTCAATTGAAGTTAAATGTTTATTTTAATTAATTGGGACATGTCTTTATAATTAATACAAAAAGAACGGAGAAAGATGACCATGTTGCATTATTATGGATTTGTCAAATCGTTGATCAAAGTCGGAGAGATGCTTTTACATGAGGAAGTAGATGCTTGCTAAAATATTTTATCGGATTAACCTATAAGGCTATAACTGAATGTATTTTTTTAATAAACATTTTTAGATAATTATTATTACTATGAAATGATGCCTAATAATCTAAGATTAAGCGGTTTAGTTTAGGATAACGAATTAGTTATATTTGATAGGATTTGTAAAATTATCATTTAATATTATCCATGTACATGATAAATTTTAACAACAGAAATTAATAAAATAGAATTTCAATTTAACAATTCCACACGCCAGCTAATTGAATCTCTAATTCCAAGTTCGTAGAATAAAGTCGAATTGCGTCAAAATTCTCCCCCAATTTTCCCACCAAAATATCAATTTCATTTGCTCGTGAGAATGTTCCCCACCAATCAACCATGGCGAAACACACTATGTTTTTCTTCTTACCCTTTTCCATTTCTTGGTAAATCAGTATTTTATTTGTTCTTATTTGTCTATTCCTTAATCTCATCGGCCATAAAATTATGTGGGTTTATAAATCTTGATAGCAAATCGTCACACAGTTTCGTTCCAAACTTCAACAACAGAATCTTGGAACCAGAGTTGCCATGGATGCTTCATCATCACCTAGTTATGTGAGTTATTAGTGTTTTAATTTGATTTTAGTATCTATCCACTTATGATATGTGTTTTGTGTATGTAAGCGATTGAACCTATAAAACGTGTGTTCTAGTGAAAATTTGGTAAAGATATGATCTGGGTATTGTAATATGCATTTTATTTCCTATGTCATCAAGCTTTGAGATAAAGTTTGAATCTAGTGGTGAAGCATTTCATTTTTTTTGATCCCAAATGATATGTTCAAAAAAATTTATTTATTTTATTTAATCAGATTGTCAATCTCTATTTGCATAATTCAAGACAGCATTTTTGCTTTTATCCATTTCTACATTCTATTTTTTAGGATTTCTGATGGTTACTCATTTGACCAATTAAAGTCAAAGCAAGTCCACAATATTGACTTTTTGGTTAATTTTTAAATGTCTTATTTGTTTGAAGAAATGTTTAATTCTACAAGAGTATGCAAACCTACAATTTGTGCAAGTTGGGAGATTTAGGGGAAAATATGACTTCGATTTTTGTTGTAGTGCATTTTACTACCTCCATTGTTGAGCTCTGAGAAAAGATTGCATATCCAAAAATGGCATGTTTTTATTAATAAATTTTGAAGTTTAAATGAGTTTTCTTAGCAATAGTTATTGCATAATTGAAAGTAATAAACTTCTTTTTCTCTATATCCAAATTTACATCTCTATTGATCGATCTTAATTGTGACTAATTTGACCCAAAAAAAAGTCAAAACATGTCTCCACCTTTCACGTTTCAATCAAGTTTTGAATTTTTCATCTCTCTTATGAAATGTGTACAAATTAAAGTAGATGATACTAGTTTCTACATATAATTTGTGCAAAACTTAGATCATCACATGTTAAAAGGATTATGATATTTTACAATGGACTAAAGTTGCATTCATTTGTGTATTAAAGAATCATACTTTAATTTCATTCTATTACAACATTGTACTTTCCAAAAACAGAAAAGTCTTATTGAGATGGGGTACTTTAAAAGATCTACCTAATTATCGTAGTGAAAATTTCCTTGTATTTGGATAGCATTACTATAATTGGGTAGATTTGTCAAAGCATGATGCTATAACAGTAAGAAATCAAAGTAGGATGCTATAATAAACAAATCAATGAAAGTACATTGCTATTTTTTTCCATAGGTTTGATGAATTTCATATTCATGTAGGAGCAAATGCAAGTGCAAAAGTCGGACTCAGATGGGCCATATCGGCTTCTATATTGTTCGGGTAAAGGCAACAAATGGGGTGTGATGCAAGAGCTTGAAAAAGGAGTAGAACCGAATGTAGGAGATTATGATAGAAGAACAGCACTTCACTTAGCTGCTTGTGAAGGCTGCACTGAAATCATTCTTTTACTTCTTGAAAAAGGAGCTGATGTCAACTCTACTGACCGTTGGGGTCGCACAGTAAGTTTCATATTTTTAATATGTATATACACAGTGTGCCTGATACATACTATATATATATATATATATATATATATATATATATATATTATATATATATATATATATTGTATGTATGTATCAGGCACACTGCTAAAATTCACGGTTGTTTCAAGGTTTGTTCCTTTTGGTTTGCAGCCACTTTCGGATGCACGTAGCTTAGGTCACTTGGAAATATGTAAAATCCTCGAGGCACATGGAGGACTTGATCCGGTAATCTATGTTTGACCCTCAAGCCAAACCTATTACTTTTACAAATTTAATATTAATTCATTTCACATAAAGTATCTTTTCTATAGGTTGGACTCGATTCCCAAACTCCATGTTACCAAATTCATTACACAGAAGTTCGCATGAAGGAATCAATTCTTATTGGCGAAGTAAATACTTTATATTTTATAAGAAAAAAAAAAAAATCTTTATTAAAGGAACTTCATAACCCGCGTGTCAACCATGTCACATGACAGCAGGGTGCGTATGGTGAAGTTTATAAAGTAAAATGGCGTGGCACAGAAGTCGCTGCTAAAACAATCCGGTCTTCAATTGCGTCAAGCGAAACTGTGAGGTGAGCTTTGACCAACAAAAGTCAAACCTAGTACTTTTCGAATCAAGAATGTAGTCTGTTTGAGTTTGACCCTTGAAAGTCAAACATGTTACAGGAAAGCGTTTTTGAAAGAACTTGAGTTGTGGCAAACGCTGCGACACCCAAACATAGTGCAGTTTCTTGGTGTCTTGAAGGACTCGGATCGCTTGATTTTCCTAACCGAGTATTTAAAAAATGTTAGTCTTTTTGTTTTTAACTTTTTATTTATGACGTGTATTTGTATTAGTACCCTTTTCAGTTCTTTTCTTTTATATATGGACTTTGATATTTGTTTATAATTTGGAATTTTGTAGGGAAGTTTGTATGACATTCTAAAGAAGAAAGGAAGACTTGATTCATTGACAGCTGTCTCTTATGCTTTGGATATTGCAAGGTATTTTATTTCATCTTCAATGTTATCATCAAACTTTTCTCGAGTCATTGAAGAATTTTTATGAAAACTTGAGTTGCATTGTGCAGGGGTATGAATTATCTTCATCACCATAAACCTCATGCTATAATACACAGGGATTTGACCCCAAGGTATATATGTACTGTATGCATTTATTGTTGTAAAGAAAAACAAGGGAGATCAAAATCAAATAATGGGTCAAGATTCTTTTTTCAAGTTTTAGACTTCCAAAATGAAATGATGATTTCTTCATATTTTAGAAATGTATTGCAAGATGAAGCTGGGCGTCTTAAAGTGACAGACTTTGGGTTGAGCAAAATTGCACAGGAGAAAGATGTTTATGGTTACAAAATGACTGGAGGAACTGGATCATGTATCAAAATCTACCACTTTTATTACAATAATAGCAATAATAAAGTTTCATGAAATGTTATTGATTTTATGATCTTTTTTTTTAGATCGGTATATGGCTCCTGAAGTATATCGGCGAGAATCTTATGGCAAGAGTGTTGATGTTTTCTCGTTTGCTTTGATTGTTCATGAAGTAAGTCCTACCTATCACTTCTCATATAGCTTTTGACTTTTATGGTCAAACTAATTCAAGATTTGGTGTGAGTTTTTGTTACTTGAACAATAAAGTTGAAATCATCTTGAAATGACTAATAATCGGAAATGTTTTTGAATCTTCAAACACAAAATTAATCAATGATACATTTGAACAACTTTTTTGCATTTGTTATGTGACTTGAAAACTTAAAAGAATTCAAATTAAAATCTTGCATGGATATGTGGGTTAGATGTTTCAAGGAGGACCATCAAATAGAGAAGAACCACCCGAGCATGTGGCGGATAAACGAGCATATGAGGACTCGAGGCCGCCTTTATCTTCATATTTGTATCCGGAGCCCGTAAGGATGTAAGCTACTTACTCTGTATTAAGTCGATCTTTCTGCATTTGTAAATATATAGCTTACCAGATTAAGTCATGTTTCCTCATTAAATTAATAACATATACTAAATATTCATATGCGGAAGCCAAAAGTCTTGATTCCTCCCTCCCTTTTGAAATTGAGTTATTTGGCTTTTTAAGTTCAAACAAACTTTATAAACTTAAAATTTTGATATGAATCTTTAAAATGTTTATGTATTTGGATAAATAGATTAAACACCCATAACAAGTATAATAAGTATGGCAATAGAACGATGTTGGTGTTGAATTCCTAACAAAAATCCTGTCATATATGAACTTGAAAGTTATAGATTTGACTTATTAAGTCAAAGTAGCTTGAAAATAATATTTGACTCTTTCTAATTTATGTTTTTTTTATTTTTATTTTTAAATGGGGACAGGCTTCTTAAAAGATGTTGGCACCGCAATCCTGACGCGAGGCCAAAGTTTGAAGACATAATAACAGAACTGGAGAAGATTTTGGAGAATGAAGAAAGTAAAGTGGGCATTAGGTTTTGCTCTTGCTTTGTCATCGTATGAAAGCTGAGCTACTTGTTACACTTACACAAATATACGTATATGTATGCAGTATATATGCATACTTTTGTATGTTCTTCATGTCGGTTTATTGCGTTGGTATATATTATGATATGTTACGTGTAATATGATGTGGAGTATGAGAATATGAAATGCATTAGTTCATCTAACTAGATGACTATTGCTTGTATTTATAAATAAAGTTGTTTTTTTAATCCATAGCTACCATTGAAACGTTGAAAATTACTTTTAGAATGCCTAAATTTGTATACAAACTAAAATTGATGTTAGTGTGGCTATATTTGCTTTCCATAACTATATTCATAAAAATTACATAAAAGGACTATTGTATGAAAGTTAAAATTCTATAAAAGACAATATTGTATGAAAGTTTGATTATTATTTAATTTTTAAATTGATTATTATTTATTTTTTAGGAATCAAATCCAACCCAATTTTACTATTAAAAAAACTAATTTCTCTATCTTTCCGACAATCAAAATTTTCACCACCATTAGCAACACAACATGAACCAATATTTATTTAATAAATATAATTTATGTTTATGTTTTACTCTATTAAAAACTATTATAAATATTAAAAATAATTATTTATTTTAAAACAAATAATCTTAAAAATCATCCAGGAAATTTAGATATGAATGATTAATGGTAGCAAATTCGAAATCAAAAGAGATTATAAGTAAAGAGTTGAGCATGAATATTAAAATGAAACTAATTTTATTCTAAAAAATATTTAATCCACCATTTTATATGTTGAATGTAGCACAAAAAATCATAAGAGAAAATTGGGTGAGCAAAGCGGGTCTGTGGGCATGAACCAGGCCACGAGAAATAATCTATTTTTTTCTTCTTCTTTGAATTTGTTGAGGGCATGGACTAGGCCATCTTCAACCTTGACTCACTTCTAATGCACTATCGAGATTTGAGATTCAAAACCTATTTAATCTCTAAATCGGGTGACATCGTCCTGGACTTCAAATTCACAAGTTGTTGCTGTTGGAGTTTTCATAATGTATGCCCAAACACTTCCAATTTCAAATTATAATCTCAATCCCACAAAAACCTCATCTTCGTTTCGCTGCTTAAACCCTAACCCACCTCCAACCCAATTTGTTAAATTTCAATCCTTTTCGAATTATAGATTCGGGTTATTTAATTCAACCAGAAGGGTATCTGATTCACCAAACAATATGAGGAGGCACGTTGGATTAGGTGGGATTACATGTGAAGAAGCGTCACTAGGGAAAGATGATAAGAAAGATAATGACGATGGATTTTATATAAGAAGGTGTGTGGAGCTTGCTAGAAAAGCTATTGGGCATACAAGCCCTAATCCCATGGTTGGTTGTGTTATCGTTAAAGATGGGAAAATCATTGGTGAAGGATTTCATCCCAAAGCTGGGCAACCTCATGCTGAGGTACTTACTTTAATATTTGCCTTTTCTGCTTGTAACTTTCACATATATGATATACGACTCACTTTTTTTATTCCATTTGACAGGTTTTTGCTTTAAGGGATGCTGGGGAATTGGCAGAGAACTCAACTGCATATGTGAGTTTAGAACCATGTAATCACTTTGGAAGAACTCCTCCATGTTCTGAAGCACTAATCAAAGCAAAAGTGAAAAAGGTGGTGGTGGGAATGGTTGATCCAAATCCAATTGTTGCCTCAAGGGGCGTTGCTAAATTGCAAGATGCAGGAATTGATGTAACAGTTGGTGTTGAAGAAGAACTCTGCAAAAAGCTTAATGAGGCATGGATACATCAAATGAAAACTGGGAACCCTTTTGTGACCTTAAGGTAAGTTTTATTTTGAGGTCATTAACTGCAGTATGGATAAGTTGATGTTTCAAAGCGTATTTGAGAAAATGACAACACACTTGGGGGAAATGGAAGTAAATAAGTAATAAGGGTAAAATTGTAAAAAGTTAGTGCTTAATGGGAAAGTCTCATTTTCATGTCTTTTTATGTAACATAAAGAAACAATATATATATATATATATATATATATATATATATATATATATATATATATATAGCTTACCAGATAAATCCTATATATAAAGTTTGTTTTTTTAACCAAATAAAGAGTCTGAATGAGACAAAATCTTACACTACAACAAACAATATTCACAATATTCATCAGTTTTAACAATTAAACAAACAAAAGCAACAACTCACATAAGTACATAACAATGTCTTGATGAAATACAGATACTCTCTCACGATCGATGGGGGTCTCTCGGATGATCTTGGGGAAGAATCCATGGAGGCTGGTGGATACTACTCAAGGCTATTACAAGAACACGATGCAGTTGTGCTTTCTTCAAAATCATTACAAAAGTATTCAGTTCCTGAATCCAAAGAACCCAAATCAAACCAACCGATGTGTGTCATAATTGCAAAAGATCCAAATCCTGTGATCCAGATTGAAGAATCAGCTTCAAAGGTGGTCATATTCACGGATCAACAGACAGGGGTGGGATCTGAAAAGGGGATCGAGACACGGGTTTTTGATGAATTGAAGTTAGGGACAATCTTGGAGCATTGTAAAGGTGAAGGACTGTGCAGTGTGTTGCTGGATTTAAGAGGGGGTATTGGTGACTTTGAGGAGATTTTGAAGGGGGTCGAGGGAAATTTGGCGCAGAAGTTGGTGGTGGAAGTTTTGCCAATTTGGGGTGGGAACAAAGAAAGTGCCTCCCTTGAGGCTATAAAGATTGGCCAAAAAGCAGGCTTGAACAAGTTTGAACCCAAAATAGTGGGCAAAAGTGTAATATTGGAGGGTTACTTTTGATACAAGCATCAGACTCTTTGCAAAATGCAAGAAATTGAAATTGGGAGATTATAACCCCGAATGGATGACTTGTTGACTTAGTTTAATTGACAAGTGATTGTTGATTTAACAATCTTGTTTGTATTGGTTTTTGACTTTTGATGATTGGCATCCAACTTTAAATAATTTGCTAATGTATTACACGAAATTATGGACTTGTTTCTCCTATAAACAGATATAGATATATATACAGATACAATAATAATGGAAGATAAACATCTACAGTATTAGACATCGCCTTTTAAAACATATTATTCCTCATTCAGATAAAAGATACGTCAATTGTTTATACTATTTGAGGAATTATTAGGCCAAATACTTTGTCCACCTCCTGAAGCTGGGTGCCCATTTGCTGCGTGCTTTCTAGAAGAAACAGCATCCTTGATTTTGGTGTTAAGTAATTTTCGAATCTTTTTCTCACTTTTTAATGTTTCTTGAACATTGTCATAAACCAGTTTGCATAGCTCATCCAGAGCAAGCATCGGAAATGGTTCTTCAATCAGAACCCCCACCTACAAATATAAATATAATAATTAAAAACAAGCTTTTCAAATTTCAATGCTAAGTTTGACTTTTAAAAATCAAATCTAGTGATTTTGAAAGTACAAAAATGGCAATACTATGTACAATTCAACACCTACAAACCCAATCTTTTTCTCAATAGTTTTGGAAAAAGGTTCAAAATTTGTATAGAAACTTAAGTTTGAAAAATGGAGGGTTTGACTTCAAAAGATAATGTTTTTAAGGAAAAACAAACAATGAAACAAACCTCTTCGATGCAGAATAGAGAAGCAGCGCTGATGAAAGTAGCGGGGACTACAATCCAGTGACAATCGTCCCACAGAATTATCGGAAGGGTGAGATGCCATAGAACAAGAAATCTTGAAGTCAAACGAGTGTAGGAAAGAGGGATAGGTATGCTTGTGATTTGTTCACAAACACCAATTCCTTCATGGAAACACGTAACTTTTGATTCCTGAAACGTAATCCACAACCAAGATTTTACTATTGAGCTCAAAATTACGAGTTTGAAACATTTTTAATATCTTACTAGCGTGGTTAGCGTTGATGATTCCAAATTCAGCAACTTGAGACTTTGAGAGATGAATTGGATAATGCAACGTGGACGATGATTTGAACTCAGAACTAGATCTAAATCATTATCCTCCAGAAGATTCTTGAGGTCTCCTCCTATGTCGGATCCATGAATCAAATGGCACTGTATTGGATTTGATTGCAAAAGGTCAGAGCATATATCTCTAAACTGGAAGCATTGATATTATTGCTGGATTTAAAGATTACAAACCTTAAGAGCGATTGGGAACGCCAGAATATACTGCAAAAGCGCCGTTTTCAACACAGAATCTGTCTCCACACTAACAATCACTTGTCGAGCGAAGTCATTTGTCCCTGAAATCACCTTCGTCCAAGCCTTCCTCCCTTCCTCAAACCTTGAATACGAAGCTTCCGTCCTGAAAACCAACAAAAGCGCCAACGCCGGAGCTGTCAACTGGTAAGGCAAAGAAGAAGCCCTCAAAGTCGGGAAAAATTCCGGCAACAAATCCCAAAACACCGCCGTGTTGTAACTCGCTATCACCACAGCCACCGTCGTGAAGGCAATAACCGGTGGGACTAACGATAAAATCACCCTAGAACTCAGACTTGACAGCAGATGCCTGAGATGTCTCAAAGAGCTTCGGTGTTCAACCCAATCTTCGTATTTGTAAAGTGGCCTCTTCTGTTTCAAACGACTCTCTTGTATTGCATCGGCCCAATCGGGTATTACTCGGAGAATTGAGATTATGTTTATGGGTGCTGGAGGAGAGGGTGGATTAGAGTTTCGAGAACAGAGGATTTTGGAGGGTTTTGATGGGATTTTGAAGGGTGTCCATGGAGGGAATTGTGAAGAAGATGATGGTGCGATACGAAAGGAAGATTTTGGTGTGGCCATGGAGGGAAGTTACAGTTATGTAAATGAGGGAACGCAGAGAGAGGGGACATTGTGTTGGGAGCTTCTGTGAAGTGAAGAGTGCGGAGGTTTTTAGTGAGGGAGAGAGAGAGTGGATGGTTGTTTGACAGGTATGTGAATGAGATTTTTTCAAATATCTAATATTAATTTAAAAAAAAATATTATCGATAAAAAAAATAGGGTTAAAATATTAAGCCTGAAAAATACTACAAAAATCAACTATATTTATCTTTTACACAAGTTATAAAATACTCATTTCACAATAAAATATGCCCTTATATAACAAACAAATCAAGAAAAATAAATATCTACAGCAACTTAATATCTATAAAAAAATTGATTATTTTAGCTTCTTATTAGAAATTATTGATCTTGACAAATATCAAATATTACAAATTATTTAGCTATTTCAAAATTAGCAGTTTCATGTAATTTTATTCCCACAATATAATATAGCTTTATTATATAAATAGAAATAGAAATATGAGAGATCTCAATTTCATAAAATAACAACTAAAAGATTGATTTAGCGTAAATATCCAAAAGTGGATTATGAAAACCAAAAGTGGAATTTGATTTAGCGTAAATATCCAAATATAAAAAGAAATAGACAAAATTGCAAAAATGGTCCTTGTGGTTGTCAAAATTATGCGGTTTTGGTTCAAAAAGGTTTGGTGGTGCACTAGTGGTCCAATTTTGGATACCTTGTGCGGATTTGGTCCCTATGTTGTTAACTTTAACAGTTTGACTGTTAAATTTTTTAAAATGACTATTTTACCCTCAGTGACCATCTCTGCAATTGAGTCTTTTTACCAAACATAGGGACCATTTCTGCATACCTTCTTTTTATAAATTTATTGAAGTATTATAGTTTTTTTTAATGAATTTTTTATATTTCTTTTTATTAGATTATTATATATGAATAAATATTATTTTTAATATATAAATTTAATATATTAACAATATTATTTTATTGGAGCATTGATTTTTTTTAATTTCTTTTTTATTGGATTAAATCTTTTTATTGGATTATTATATATTAATAAATATTATTTTTAATATAAAATATTTATATATATTAATGAATATTACTTTATGGGATCATTAACTTCTTTTAGTTTTTTTTTTAATTTCTTTTGTATTAATTCTTTTTTGTCGGACCGAGTTTGAAACATATTTTGGATAAAACCACAATTTTCGGATCGAGTGATAGTGGTGGTGTTATCTAAAATATGCTATCGTCCGGAATGCCTATTCCGGACGAAGTTGTTATTTTTGCTAAAAAAAATTGGTTATTTTCTTCAAATACACATTAAAATGTTGTTAGATTACTTAATTACTCGTTTATTAATGTACAGTAATTCAAATAAATATTAAAAAACTAATTATAAATATCAGTAGTCCAATAAAATAATATTCATTAATATATTAATATTATATATTTAAAATAATATTTATTCATATATAACAATTCAAAAAAAAAGAATTAATATAATAAAAAAAAGGTTTTAAAAAGAAATTAATCCAACAAAATTTCAAAAACAATGCCTAAAAACTCACCTCATCGAATTTATTTTAAATATGTGAGAGATAACATATTTTGGACAACACCACCACTATCGATCGGTCCCAAAATGGTGATTTTGTCCAAAATATATCTCAAAACTCGGCCCGAAAAAAAAAGATTTAATACAATAGAAATTAAAAAAAAATTAAAAGAAGTTAATAATCCCATAAAGTAATATTAATTAATAAATATAAATATTTAATATTAATATATATTAATCCAATAAAAAATATATTAAAAAGAATTAATTAAAAGAAATCAATACTCCAATAAAATAATATTATTAATATATTAAATATTATATATTAAAAATAATATTTATTACTATATAATAATCAAATAAAAAGAATTAATCAAATAAAAAGAAATTTAAAAAATTAATTAAAAAAAACTAATATATAAAATTTCAATAAAGTTAAAAAGAAGATATGCAGAAATGGTCCCTATGGTTTGGTAAAAAGATTCAATTGCAGAAATGGTCCCTGAGGGTAAAATAGTTATTTTAAAAAGGTTAACAATTAACCTCTTAAAATTAACGACATAGGACCAAATCCGCACAAGTTATCCAAAATTGGACCACTAGTGCACCACCAAACCTTTTTGGACCAAAACCGCATAATTTTGATAACCACGGGGGACATTTTTGCAATTTACCCAAAGAAATAAGTTTACCCAAAAAAAAAAAACAACCTTGAGTATCCAGATGTGAACAAATAAATTGATGACAATTCAATCTAAACCAAAATCAATATTGTTTTTTTTTTTGTTTTTGTTTTTGTTTTTTTTTTTGGTGCTCATCAAGCCACTTGTATTGTCGCTTTTTACCACAAATGAGGCACTATCCAAGTATCCATTCGTATTACAAAGAAGAAATCAATTTACAATTAAATCCATTTTTCATAGACAAAATTGGGATTTGGGATCCCTCATAGAATCCATATACACAAATTATGCACCTTGTGTACACAAAAATCCCAAGGCTACAGAATCAATATACACGAAAAAGTAAAATACATTAACACTAGCATATGAAAGATACATACATGAGGTTAAAACTGCAAATAAAGTCCAAGAGGAAAAGACTATATAGAAATAAAAACACCAAATATCATACAAACAGAGAAGAAAGAAAGTTCCTAATCTTTATGAGAGCCTATTTGGGAGTTGTTTCCTTTGTATTCTGCAGAAGAAAAGTGAATCCAAACACTGTGATCCCACAAGATATTCAAGATTCACATTCTAAAGATCAATCAAAGGCAAAAACATCAAAAGAAAACCTGGTTGTGTTGTCAGAAAGATCATGAACGTTTCTCTGTTGGCTTTTTGGGTTCTTGAATTCCTTGTTTAGATCCAAAGATGAATCTCTTCACTGATTGTTCTGCTGATTGTATGCGATTCTTGATCTATTATTTGAAATGTGTTAGGATTGACAGCAAATAACAATGGCCAAAACCCCAAAGATAACATGAACCAGAAAAGCATCTAAACATTAAAAACCCACATTTGGAGATCATCATAT